GCCACTATACCACCGCCGCCCTTTTAGGAGAGTCAAGGGAGCGGGGAGAGCGTTCTGATTCTCAACTCGCTGAGCAAGATATTGTAAAACTTGTAAGCTTCAAATTATCATTAGGCATCCGTAGACAACGAGGTTCGAGACCGAAGTTCAGGGCTAACTAGCAGTAGAGGTTCCATCTGAAAATCTCGTTCTGTGAAAGAAGTAAACAGAGTTCGACGAAGCTGATATGAGAACTAGATGGCCGATTCGGAATGGGATGCAGAAATGGGTCCCATAAGTCTAGTCGACTTTGAAGCAAGAATGCGATCGGGCTCTAACTCATCCACTATGCCAAAACATACATTCTAGGGAAACTCTGTCATTCTCTCCTCTTAGAATCATAGCAGCAGAATTCCTTGAAAATCAGATATCCCACTAAATGATTTCAACCGGATTTCACACCTTTTTAGGGAAATTTTTGCTGAAGTAATCAGTGCTAGGCATGGCAGGTCTTCTTGGCAAGAGTCAGTCACAAAGTTGTTCGGTTGCGGGCTTCCCACGTACTTGCTCTTGAACCAAAAGGTAAAATCTCGAACCTATCCCTATCCCTCCAGCCAAACCAAGCCTTCTATCTCTTGGGAAGGGAGGGAGGGTTGGTGGGATCCAGACTAATTCCTGAGAAAGAATTTGCCTACTTGTACACCGATTGACCTCAAAATTGATGTTGTAAGTCATACAGTGTCTCCCTTTCGTTCCCGATGGAGATGCTGTGCGTGGGAGCATCCTGGATAGGGTTGGGTAACGCCAAAGTAACCATTATCCCTTCACTTTCAAGACAGGCCTAAAACAAAGTTTTTTGTCACGTGCGGTTAACTTCAGCAGTTACTAAGGGAGAAATCAGATGCTCTCTGAACCAGAGCGGTATTTATTAACATTTGTTGTTCGTCTACAGAAAAGTTTTCGTACTTTCTCTGAAGACATTCGAGTGGTACCAACAACAACCTAGCCAGGCTTTGAGAAAGTTGTTTTTGGGAAGTATGCGTTGGCGTCTTATTAGTAATTCACTTCCTCATCACGTGGGATCCTGCATCAACTCCAAGGACACTAGTAAAGCAAATCTCAGTGGCTGACTCCTTTTCGCAGTCTGCAACTTCACTCAATCTCAATTCCTGGACAGTAGGTTGCTTTCTTCAGACGGGTCTGAAAGGGTTCTACAGGCCAGCTCTCGGTTGAGGGGATCACCCGTCACACCAGTGACTGGACATCATTCCAAAGCAAAGCTTGAAGGGGCCGCTTTATCTCGGATACACCCTTTATTCTTTTTCTATCCTGGTTGTGCAGGGGCGTGGGTTTGCCGTCGTAGGGCTCGGAGACTGGGATGAAATCAAGCCATTCGGGCTAGAATAAAAAGTCTGGCTGATAAGGCAGTAACTCTTATATCCCTCAGAGTCATGGTAGTTGATCCGAGGTTCGAGAGGGTAAAAAAGCTGACTTGTATACGTATAGACTTGTCATCGACGGCCATGTATAGACCCTCTTCCTTCCAGTAGGAGCCCTATGCGAAATCCTCTCAAAGACGGAACTGCTGGTGTTTGAACGCTCGAATCAGAAGTTGATATCAACAAAATGCTGAAAGACAGCGGTAATCAAGTCAATGTTTACCTTCGACATACCTCGACTGCTGAATGCGAGTATCCACGATGAATAGCTTGATTGGCTCGCTTGTGATAGGAATTTTGCTCTGCGGAAACCCTGAGTAGCGCTTTCATTCACTACATCATCCTACTATATGAGTGTTCAGACGCTTCCTGCAAAGCCAACGTTCAAGTCTGCTAATGGACTTGGCAACCGACTACTATTTCCGTAGCTGTGAGAAAGATATTGTTAGCAATCAAGCCTCATGCAGCTTTGTTCGCATTGCTTTTATGGAGCATCCAGTTCCCGTGCTCTCTCACCTAACTAGCCACAGGTGATCGACGATCATCTTCTGGTCATACTTAATGGTCCCTGTGAAAGTCAGAATGAAGTCGGAAGGTTGGAAGCTCCTGTCAAGGTATGCTGACCAGCGTAAGCTTGAACTTGGTCTAAAAGCTTCGGTCGAAATCGCGCTGCTA